GGAACCTCCAGGGTGAAGCTCAGAGAGAAAGACAGACACAGGGACGGGCAGAGAAAGATTTCACTTTGGTAACATGACCTGCATGCCTCCTCTCATCCTATCCAATCTCTCACACACACATACACACACATACAATACAGTCACAGTAATAAATTATGCATGTCATGGGTATATACACACACACACACACACACACACACACACACACACTGGCATTCACACTCAAAATGTTATTCAGGGGAAGTTAAGCAGCGGAAAACTAATGTCTATAAAGTGGTTGTTCTTCTTTGGAGCTGTGACACAATCAGTGGTCGATTATGTGCATTAACTCAAGTGCAGTTTGGAAGTACTTGTACTTAATATACACATTAGGCTACTTTGTATTTGTACTGTATAAATCTTACAGCTCTTGTTTCTATTTACTTTGCAAATTAAGATGTTACAAATGAAACCTGTTGAGCTGTAACAAGTGATGCATTGTTGGCGACTGTATGTAAAATAGTTTAAATTACTATAGCCAATGAACACAGGTTACTGCTACTTAGTTCAATAACACATAAATGCATCAGTAAAAATGATCCAGTATCCGTCCGTGATGCTTGAAGAACATTTTGCAAACAACATACTGTGACGCTGGGACAGAGAAGATGGAGGTTTGCAGTTTTAACCCGGTGCGCCACAACGTAAAGTCCAACGCAATCAGTAACTGTGCTGCCTTCAAAGACGCCATTTGTCTTTATGTTTTCATTCATACTTTTTTCTTATTTGGTCCCTCACCTTCTTTCTTGGTTTTATTTGTCTTTCCTTCCTTTCCTCTTTTTCTCTATTTTCTTTTTCATGCAGGGGGTGAATTAAATGAGCGCAAGTGCATTAGCTTGTGTGTGTGTGTGTGTGTGTGTGTGTGTGCGTGCGTGCGCCTGTGCCTGCGTGTGCGTGTGATGTCACCACAGATGGAGACAGATTGAGCCTTTTATCCGTAGATGAGTCGAAAGCCGTATGGTTGCATCACACATACACGGCTCACAACAAACAGTCCAGGGAGCAGCAGAGTAGTTTGATGCTTCACTCTGTCAATTTCCAAGGCAGAGGGAAAATTACTGCACAGGACAGAGGGAGAGGATGTGGATTAGAAATTTAAGATAAGATTGGATAAGATAAGATGTATTCATCACGTACGTCTGTTCTTGAGTGCGCAGGCACTCTGTTAAATATCTTAAGATCCTTTTTTAAATTGTAGCACGGCTTAACAAAGTGGAAAATAAGATTATAATGGAAGTTTCTTATGTCAGAGACAGGACAAGGTCGAGGCAGAGGCGGATAAATTGAGAGTGACAGACATGAATAAATGGAGAGTCAAGAGACACAGGCCAAATTTATAAAGATGAAATAGAAATGAATTATTTTAGAGGAAGAGATGTACAAAATTTTGCAGAGTGAGTGGGAGAGAGTGGTTGAAGGACAGAAACAAGGGAAGTGGTGACAGTTATGAGTGAACTGTGAGTGGCAGACACACAGGGAGGCTGCATTTATTATGGAAAGCGTGAATTTAGGAGTAAAGAGCCTGTACAGAATAAATTAGGAATAAAAGAAAATGGAAGTAAGGCATGAAAACTTTTGTCTATTAAGTTATTAGTCTATTCCACTTCTTGATTTACAACCAAAAAGGTGTTGTTTGAGCTTTTAAAGTTTTGGAAATGAGACGTCACAGGCAATAGTTGAGTGTTTGATTTTAGGAAATGTTATGTTACATTTTGTGTTTTAAGGTTTCACTGTCATAAGTCCCACTGTTTGTTACACATTTCCTTTCTCACTCTATGGCTTATTAATTTTTACAAACTATTAAATGTGTCTGTGTTTTTATGTGTGTGTGTGTGTGTGTGGGTTTTCAATAAAAAGTGCATCAAGATAATTAGAAGCATGTATTTCAGTTTTTCTCAAAAAGAGCCATTCTGTGCCTGGCATGCTAAAGATATAAATGTTTAATGATTTTTCCAGGTCTTTTCCTCATGTTTGCCGATATGAAAGCTATGAAAGCCTGAGTTGTGTTTGTACTGAAACAACAAACTAAATTATTCAAATGATAAATTTAATTTCCTTGTGCCAGATGAAGTAAACTGCAGAGTCACAGCAGCCTTGATGGTGTGTTATAATAATCTTTATTATGATTTTTCTAATGTATCAAAATTGATTAAATAATTTATTGATATATCAAATATATTATAAATAATGCTCTTAGATCGGATCAGATGTTTGCAGGTTCTGATCACAGAACAGGACAAATGTGCATCAGGAAAGTTTCTTCTCTCTATATTAAAAACGCCTATATCACCCAAATATTTCATGTGCGTCCTCTTAGTGTCCTTGAATGTTTGCGAGTTTGTCTCATCGTGTCCCCTGTTGTGTGTTTCCTCATTCTAGAGAGCTAAAATTGGTCCAGGCAAGAACACAGAGGGCAAGTCGGCCAATGCTGCGTCCCGCTTCGACTCCAACGGCAACCAAGATCGCATGAAGCTGGCTGACTTCAACTTCTTGATGGTGCTGGGAAAGGGCAGCTTCGGCAAGGTGAGGCTGTGGTGTTGATGTGTGTTTGTGTCAGTCTGGTCCCTGTCAACACATGTTTAGACATCAGCTGAGATGCTGGTGGCAGGGTGGATTTAAATGTACAGTTTTTCCACTTGGAAGCAAATAAAGAATGAATCATTTCTGAGATATCGTTAATACGAACTTGAATTTTAAATATATCTATATTGATATTGTTGCTATAGGTGTAATCTGACTTTTGCTGAACCGAGATTATTTCTTTAAATCTTTTTTACAGCAGAAAAAAAGAAGTCAGTAGGTGATTTGTATCCACTTTAAACCAAAATGACCAAAAATCCATCCCCCTTGATAGCCTGTCAATTCTGCCATCCCCTCTCAGCCAATCCCCTATCCTACCTGCGTTGTTAAAACCTCCATAAAGATGTTACGGTCCACAGCAGGCAGGCAGGTTTCAGCATAATTCAGCAGATCGCCTACTGAGTGAACTCTCTATACTTCCTTGACCTGCTGTTATACTGCGCTTAACGTTTACAGGCTAAATTCATTCTGGACAAATGCAGGATATGTAGCAGCCAGGCACAGTTGAATATCAGCAATCTAACTACCTGCTATGATAAATACCTCCATGAGCATTTGTGTGTTTTGTGTTTGGCTGAGTATTAGAGCTCGCTAATCTAACGCACAGGGATCCACACACGGAGCTTAGAGGAAAGCAAAGAAAGACAAAGTCCTGGATAGAGATGAAGGAGATTAGGCGCAGGTAGACAGAGATGGATGAAGGGGAAGGGGCGAAGAGGATGACGTGACAAGAGCAGAGAGTGATGAAAGGCGAGAGAGACAGAGATGTGAGGGGATGGTGGCAAGGTTGACATGAATGAATTGAGCGAGACGTAAAAACGTCAGACTGGATGAAAGCATGGTTGAGGGGGAGAGAAGGGGAGGGGGGGGACCTTGGCGAGGGAAGGCTGACATGAATGAATGAAAATCGAGGCGAGAAACAGAAAGAAAAGGGAGGATGGGGCGAGAGAGACAGAGGGAGAAAATTGGGTAAAGGATGGGCAGAGCAGCAGGGTGGAGAGAGAGAGAGAGAAAAAGAGGGGGCAAGTGACCGACAGAGGGAGAAAGAGAGAGACCATTGTCTGTGTTACCAGACCTGTATGCTGGCTGCCTGTTTCCATGGCAACGGGCGTTTAAAGCCACACTGATGCGTCAATGTGGAGAGACTGAGTTAAGGCACGATCGTTACCGGAATACCAGACACACACACACACACACGGAGACGTGCTCAGATACGCATGAGTACACACCTTCTGTAGAAACACAGGATGGAATGTGTGTGCAGCCAGAGACTGCACTCAATACATCGTATACACGCACACAAAGCTGGTGTTAATATCAGCTGATATGAGAAATAAAGATACACACACACATTATTGAGTACGTCAGAGAAGGAGACAAACACAAACAGATGCTCACGTTGTGTTTGTGTGTCTGTGTCTCTGTGTGTGTGTGTGTGTGTGTGTTATCCTAATGCTTTCTGAGTTTGCGTGGGAGGCAGGTACCTTCAGCGCAGAGCTCTCTGCTCCAGTGTCTGAGGACATCTGCATCACAATACTGCTGCTCACGTTTCACTGTGGACCTTCAGTGTGATAAAAACATACACACGTCAGTATCCCATTGACAGTCACATGAAAGTGCTGTAGCCTGTTGTCATGACTCCGCACGTGACAAGCAAGTGCTTCATATCAGCTCACATCTGCGTATGGATTTCTACTCTCATCGTCCAGTACTTAAATACTTCAGTATTGTCTCTGCAGCTCGGTCAAACTTTGTTTGTTTTGTTCTGGGTCATTCTGTATTATCCTGTTCAAATGGATCTAAAATAAAAGTATAGTACTTTATACGTGACATATTGTTATATTTGCTTGTCGTGTAGATAGATGCAATACAAACATCTCAATAACACTTGCGTGAAAGTGATGCATGCATGCATGCAAAAAAAAAACACAACTGCAAAAACCAACGTGGGTCCTGACATGAACTACACCTTGTCACAGTGATGACTGAACAGATGACATGATATGTGACGATTATAAGGATGCAACACAGCCCACCATAATAAAACACAGTGCAGTGCAGCAGAGAGAGGTTTCATTTATTTTCTCTGGGTAAATTCACTCTGCAAGGTCAGCAGAGAAAACACCCTGGCATCATTTACGACACATGACAGTTAATATCCTCGGGTCTGCTGTTCTGTCAAATGACCCTGAACCACTTTTCTTGGATAAAAACGGGTCGACAGTGACACACACACACACACACACACACACACACACAAACATACACGCAGCGGTAAGAGTAGCCGGTGTGTAAGTGACACTGTGATCGACCCTGGACGAGATCGTGACATGTATGAAAACACACAGAAGGTTGAAATGATTGAAACAACATCTGCTTGTCGTCACGGACAGCGGTGGCTTGTGTTTACGTGCATCCTTTTGTTTGTGGAGGCGACTTTTCTTCCTGAAACCTGGTGATTTTGCATCTTCTCTCTCTGCCGTTGGTCTCGTCCTTGTCTTTGTGGCTGCATACAACCAGCTTCAGGCCAGATGGCGTCTTTCCTCTCTGATTTCACTTCATAGAGTTTGTATTTACATAGAGTCACACTGGCACCATATGGGATGAGTCCATGCAAACACACACACAAACACACACACACCCTCTCAATTAATGGCCACCTGCATACGTCGAACTTCAATGGATATTAAAACTTAAATGCTGAATATTATAGTGCACATTCTTGAACTGTGGCTGCCCTCTATGCACACACACACACACACACACACACACACACACACAGCTTTCTGTCCATCTGCACTGCTCTCCCTGTAGATTCCTGAACCCAATTAACCCTCTGTATTAACATACCTGAATATTTATAAGACATAAACAGTAAAGCTAAGTTTCCGGTCTCCTGTGGAAGGAAGTGGATGAAAGGTCACTCTTATTGCTCTGTTCTTGAACGGTTTGGGGAGAATAATGAACATGTTATGGTTTCCATTTACATCATTGAGCATTAAGACATTTATTTAAGGCCACTTATAACGAGTGAGCGGGTCGTATAGATCTGCTCGTTGCTCACAGACACTTCAAATCCTTCACAATGGCTTGTCTGTCTCTGACAAGTGATATTAAATTGATCCATAATCAATAAAACCCAACTTAACTTGAGCCGTTGTGCAGCTGCAAATGTTTCCCGCTCGCGAGGTTCACCCGGTGTTTTATGCAAATTAACAATGGAAATGTAATTAAAGTGCTTAAAAAAAGAAATACGATTGGTTGACGGTTCCTTTTGTGGAGGTCCCAGAACTCAATTAGCCCGGTGGAATCTACAAACACACCATGCTAGCCGCACAATGGAAAGGCTTCGCCGTTTTTCTACTTCCACATTCTTCCTGCCTGCTCGCACACTTGTTTTAAGATAAAACGTTCAAGACTGCTTTTATTAGAGCCGTGCAGTCAGGCGAGTAGTCGAACATGTGGAAACGGTGCCGCTGCATATCTGTGCTGATAATTCACACTGCAGGGAAACTGAAAACCAGGTATCTGACGCATTTTAAACCTCGAAGAGAAGTTTTTGCTGTAACTGATGCTTGAAAGTGGGAGCTTTAGTGGGACTCTGCAAAATCAAAATGAAGTCTTTTTATATTCACGTTTCATTCTCATGAGAAAGTGTATTTTCCTTCAAATGTTGAACTTTTGCTTTAAAGCTCCACTTTCTTAATGTGCGGAGGTGAACTTTACACACAGACACCTTAAAGTCACAGCTGCTCATAAAATCCCTCCATGCATATTTCAGTCCAGAGAGATGAACTCCTCCGACCCGCTGGGTCACGAGCCCGCTTTTACTTTGCCTGCTTTTACTTTCATGAGACGACCTGCGAGCTGAGACTTGACCCACATTCGGTCGGCTATTTCCAGCAGCTCTTTTCAGGAAAGAGGAGAGGAGAAAGGGAAAGAAACGCAGGAGAAATCAAGACAGCAAAGGGGAGAAGTGGTGATGAAAAGGGCGAGAACAGGATACAGCAGACAGAGGAGCTGAGAGAGGAAGATGAGATAATAAGGTTGAGTCCTCTGTTTGAGAGCAGAATGAGCCTGACCTTGGCTACAAGACACTTTATGTGCTGAGTGCGAGCGCGCGCACACACACACACACACACACACACACACACACACACACACACACACACACACACACACACTTCAGCAGCAACAGAAAATGTATGTGAAAATTTTATTTGTGGGATAGGATTCTTAATGTCCACTCCCTCTCTCCGTCCGACACCTCCTCCCATTTCTTCACATGGATGAACGGATTTGATTTTGACGGTCGAAGGTCATTACGAAGTCACAGAGTTCGTTTTTCTCCTCAACTCGAGACGGAGTAAACTTTCCAGATGGCTATAATAACACTCTGTAAAGGAGAGTTTAATCTCCTCCTTCCTCTTTGTCCTACCTTTCTTTTTTTCAGTTTTCTCTCCTCAGGTGACATCTTGAAAAATGATGACTCAGTCCCCCCCCCCACCCGTCCTTACTCTCGTTATTTCTGCCTTGACGTTCGAACCCAAAACAGTCAGAGAAGCTCTTCTTTATCACTTTGCTTCTTTATCCCTGACCTTAACAGAACCTCTACTGTGTCTGCTGCTTTCTCTGCCTCTCCTATCTCCGTCTGCCTCCTGTCCTTGTCCTTTCTATCCCTCTTTCTGTCTTTCACTGCATCCTTCTTTCCTTCCAGGTGATGGGACAGAAGTTATTTGCCTTTAAGATTTTAAATCATGATGGATTTATCTTCCCTGTGTTTCACATCGTCTCGCTCCTTTCCTCTCTCTCCTCCTCTAGGTGATGTTGGCGGAACGTAAGGGGACGGAGGAGCTGTACGCAGTAAAGATCCTGAAGAAGGATGTAGTCATTCAGGATGATGATGTGGAGTGCACCATGGTGGAGAAGAGAGTGTTGGCGCTGGCTGGAAAACCCCCGTTCTTGACACAACTGCACTCCACCTTCCAGACTATGGTACGTGATATTTTTATGTAATGATCACCTTCGACATCTTTTCAAACTTTTGGGTATTTTTTGTCTTTTGGGAATCTCAGATCTCATCGACTATCGTCTGACAAGAATGAACCTCTGCGGCCACCGGTCCACAGTGGATGTCCGGGCCAAGACTCAGTCTTTTGTTTGTTGACTCTGTTTACAGTCAGACTCTGTTCTTGTATCATAAGAGTCAAATGTTTCTCCACAGAAAACACAAACAGAGATACTTAGTCCAGCTCTACTTGGAACCGTCAACTGCATAAGAATGCAGATAGATTAAAAGTCTGCTCAAATGTGTCCCTTCCCTGCAGATTCTACATATTCACAAGAAGAAACCTTTTATAGAGATTGCCCCCACACCCAAAATATACCTTGAGCAAAAACCTTAGGCTGCACAAACCCTTCACCCATCGGCCCAAACAATTACTATTACTATACACTATTACTAATTATGGTAGTACACTGTAGATTGAATCATCATTTGAAGCAACGCTCTGATTTGTGGTCAGGATTCATAGCAGCTGACTCAAAAATCACAGATTCCCTCCAGTTCATTCAATCGAGCATCGGCCGTGAAGTTTGATATCAGACCAGTGTAAATTTAGCCCAGACTGGATCCTGGCACAAGTGGGTGCCTGCGTTCTGCGTGCATGTGTGCAGGCGATTGTATGAACTCCTGTTGGATGCTCAAACATTTGGTTGGATACATTCCTGCACACGTGCACACACAGAGGATGAAGTGACACCCTTCGTGTGTCCCTCCACACACTCACATTGTATTTGATCAGCTGTGCGGTGTCCTGCTGAAGGGCACAGCAGCACTGCTGTGGAGCGATGTGGTCGGAACAGCAGCCACCCTGCCTGCTGTCACCAGCTCACAGCTAGAACACACAGGCGGCATTCATATTTGATTCATGCTCATCCTCTGACACATAATCCATAGAAATCATAGAGTTAACAGAGGAGTAAATATAGCTCATTGGTTTCATGCAACAACTTCATGTCATGTACATTCACATGCTGCTTAAACGTACTCACACATTTATGTTTCAATTAATTATTGTACATCCATTTGAGGTTGTATTAAAAGTCTAAAGGTTGACCTGACCTCCATGCACACACACACACACACACACACACACACACACACACACACACACACACACTAGAAGCTAATCCTGCAGTCCTCAGAGCTAATTCTCCGACCAGAGAAGGGCTTTCGTACGTATGGGACTTAGCAGGCAATTATATCATGCATGCATAGACACATGCATACCATATATGATGTGTAGTGCACGCACTAATATATTTTATTCACACATACAGTGCACACTGTACACAAACATGGAGCGAACTTATCAAGCAATGCAGGCAACGATGCCCCCACGCACACAAACAAACATTAAATGTCCTGACTCACAAAACCGCACAATATTTTCTCCAGACACACACACACACACGCACACACACAAGGCCACAAACCAAATCCCTCCACGCTCTCTCACATACTGCACTTTATTGCCAATTTCTATAGATAATGGAGAAGAATTGGCTCTTAAATTGATGTTGCTGTGTCCCCTCAGTTCGAGAGTGATTGGACGCGCTGCGGACGACAGCCCAATCGCCTCTTTCTCACTGTCCTCTTCCTCGTTCTTTATCGTTTATCCCCCCATTTTCACTTCTAATGTCACATTCGCCCTCTTTCTTCTGCATCCATGCTTTAATCTCCTCTCGTGTGACCCGTCGCTACCTCCCCCCCCCCCCCCCCGACAGCTGCTCACACTCCGTCTTCCACTATCATCACATTTCTTACTGACCTCTCGTCTGCTTTACGATTATTTGACTTTATCCGTCTCTGTCTGCCCTTCTACCTCTCCGCAGGACCGTTTGTATTTTGTCATGGAGTACATAAACGGTGGAGATCTCATGTATCAGATTCAGCAGGTTGGCAAGTTCAAAGAGCCACATGCTGTGTGAGTACACACACACACACACACACACACACACACAGACTCACAAAGCAGCAGTTGTAGAAGAAAAGCAGCGATACCTTTTTATGCCATCATAAACACAAAATCTTAATCCTCAGCTCATGGGTGTTTCCCAGTTTAGTGACATATTTTTAATCACATTGAACAAGCTATCAGCAGTTTGACTGGCTCAGGTGATGGATGAACAGCCCAAGCAGTGCCTGGGGATGAAATATGTTGTTCGCCCCAGTGCACGTGAAAGTAATCCAGCCGCTCTTAAGAGTTTTCAGCGTGTGGTAGAACACCTCCAAAGCTGCAGAATATAATTGAGGTGGCTGGCGAGATCGCCGGTGTCAAGCCAAACCACCGGGCCGACGTATTTGACAAGCGGGCTGTCGGGCAAAGCGAGAGCCGTGGAAGAGTTTGCCCTTCATCTGCTTTATAGGGAATTAGAGTTTCTTCCATTTGGCAGAAGGTTTAGACTGCTAAAGGGCAAGTTGAACGGAGTGAACAACTCTTTTATCAAAGGCCATCAGCATGTTGTGCTGGGTGTAATTTATTTGTCAGACAATAGTCAGGATATTCTGCACCGAGAATCCTGACGCCTTAAACAAACGCCTCTTTTCCTGCCGCAGCAGCGTCAGCGTCTGATCACAGATAAAAAAAAAAACTCCAACAAACTTTTGAACACCCTCTGCAGATTCTGCACCGCCATCCACGTCTTCAAAATGCCTCTCGACATCTTGTATGTGCAGACGGGCACTGATTGTGCACGCCCATGCAAACATAGTTAACTGCGTGGTCAATGTGTCCAGACTCTTCCTGTTGATCTTATCAGCTGCCCTCTGGCCTTGAAGAGACAGCATTGACCTTTACACTGATACGCACACCCACATGTGCACACAAATTACCCCTCTGTTTTCCCCCGTCCTTTCCCTCAGACTCTTTCTAATTAATGTTGTTGTTTCTTGATGTGTGTGTGTGTGTGTGTGTGTG